AGATCAGAGGCCAGCCCTGCTGCCGAGGTCAGGGGCTGCTCGGCCTCCGCGGCCTGGGGGCTCAGGCAGCTCCGTGTCAGCTGCCCCGCTCCGCCTGCTGGCGCCCACCAGCCTGCTGAGCCGTGTGTGCAGGCGGGAGTCCCGGTCCAGGGAACGGGCGTTCAGAGAGAGGCCCTGAACTGGGGAGCCAGAGGGGCTGGTGGCAGAGTGGGGAGGGTGTCCGCCTCTGGGCAGGGGCATGATTAGAAGCCTTGGCAGCTTCTGGAGCTCAGTGTGAGGCTGCGCGCAGGGTCTCTGCCTCCTGGTGCTGAGCCCAGGGTGCGAGGGTGCGAGGGTCTGGGGGCCCGGGACACACGCAGAGCTCAGTGAACAGGGTGTGTGTGTGTAGATGACTCCCTAGGGCGGGGACTTGTTCCCTGAGTTTCTGTGAATTGAGCCAGCTGCCCCTGAAGAGGGCCGGCTGCACCGTGCCCTCTGGCCCCATAACCCTGGGCTCACTGAGGAAACTCCTGAGGCTTTCCCTCTTCTGTAAATGGAATAATGACCGCATGTTCACTGAGCAGGATTCAAGGCAGTGCTGTGTGTAGTCCGGTGCCCAGTGAGCAGCCTGCTTCCTCAGCCTGTGGCTGTGGCAACTTGTGTTTTTCCAGGAGATGATGGGGACTGGAAGTCGGCAGTAAGGTCAGATGGTTGTGGTGGATCCTGGTGGTTCCCGAACCGATGGTCTGTGAAGGCGTCTCTGACGTGAGGAAGCAGTGTCAGGTCTCACCAGCCCCGGGAGTGGTTGGCCCCCCAGCAGGGGCAGGGCTGGGTACCTGACAGTGTGCCCTGTGTGGGGTGATGCCCCGGTGTACTCTGGTTGGTGCTGGCTGCAGAGGTCTGATCGTGGGGGTGCTGGCCCCACAGGAGAACACTGCTTCACCACAGTGGGGAGCTGGGCATGGCTTTAAAGTGAAATGTGTAGGCATGGGATGCTGGATAAAGGAAATTTTCTTACAAAGGAATGAGAAAGACTAATCATAAAAGATTAATAAAAGGGGCTCTATTAAAGTTAGGAACTTGTCTTCATCAAAAGACATCATTAATGGGCAAGGGGGGAGGAGGAGACGCTCACAGAGGACTCACGTGCAGACGATACAGTAGACACCTACAGTTGAGCACGGGCAAGGCAGGGGTGACCATAGAAACAGGGCTACACTTGTACACGCATTGCACAGCTGAGGACACGCAACGGCACCTGTCAGTCTTCTGGGAAATGCAGATTAAAGCCACCGTCTAACAGACCTCGCAGGCCCATTGGGATGGCTAAGATGAGGGTGGACAGCACCAAGTGTTGGCAAGGATGTGGAACAGTGGGTGCTTGTGAGTGCTTTCACTCTGGAAAATTCTGCAGGAGGTCTGTGAAATGGAGGTGCAGCCAGGGGTCGCCCTCCTCGGTACCTACCTGACGAGATGCACACCACGTGCCACGAAGGACAGGAACAGGAGTGTTTATAACAGAGGTGCAACCCAAATGTCTGTCAACAGAATGGGTTTGGTACGTGGGAACACGTGACAATGAAAAGCAGCTACTCTTCACATGTCACAAGAACGAATGACTTTTTCAAATGTAATGTTTAAGCATCCAGACGGAAAAAATGATTGCATTTATATAAAGTTCAGAAAAAGGCATAATTTACCCCAGTGTTAGCAGTCAGGGATCTAGCTCCAGGGAGGAGGTGAAGGATGGTGATTGGGAGGCTCCCAAGGGTCCTCGAGATGGGGTCACTTCGTGGTAATTCCGCACACATTTTTGGTGAGTGTGTGCACACACATTCTGTTTCAATACGTGTTTGTTAAGAAGAAGCTTAACTCGTATGACTCAAATGAATTAAAGCAAATGTGTGCGAGAGTATAATTGATAACAGAATAGATGCTCATGGAAACGCCTTCCGAAAAGAAAGGGAACAGAGGCACTCACCCAACAGAAAAGCTGTGGCTGGATTCAGGCCCACCTCATCGTCAAGGCTGGCAACCCTCTGAGCTCAGCGCTCCTTCCACTTGGCTCTTCACGGTGCACCTGCAGCCCGTGGTTCTCCCGCGTGGTCGCAGGGTGGCTGCCACAGCTCCAGTCTCTGCACATCCTCTTTTATTGGTATTATTATTAAAAGACTTAATTACTTACTAGAGAGAGAGAGCGTGCGCATGTGTACACAAGCAGGAGGGGCAGAGGAAGCTTCTCAAGCAGACTCCCTGCTGAGTGCAGAGCCTGACGAGGGACTCGATCGCAGGACCCTGAGATCATGACCTGAGCCGAAATCAAGTCAGATGCTCAACCAACTGAGCCACCCAGGCGCCCCAGATGTGGGGGAATTTTAAAAGGCAGAAAGTACCATATAGGTTATATTTGTTCAACCATTCACTTACTTGCTCATACATAAATTCACTTAATAAAAAGTTGACTGCCACGTGGCTGGCACACTGAAGGGCTGGTTCTGACGGAGTCTCTTGCCAGGTGCTGCTGGAGCTCGGCGTGGCCAGCCTGCCTCGGGTGTCGGGCTAAGCCTCCTGAGGAAGAGTTATCATCAAAGAGATGCTTGTGGGATGAGCAGGAGGTAGCCAGGTCAAGCTTTAAAACATCTAGGGAAGAAACAAGGAGAGAATCTTTCTTATATAGAAAAGAAGAAGCACTAAATATAAAAGAAAAACTTTACAAGTTGGATATCATGGGAATTGAAAACTCCTGCTGTTTGAGACAAAAAGGCCACAGATTAGGAGAATATAATCATAATATGTATATTATGTGTCTAGACACAAAAATTCTGTCTAGAATAGAGAACCATAAAACTCACTAGAAGGACAAACAACTGGATTTAAAAAATGGGCAAAAGATTTGAACAGACACTTCACCAAAGAAGAGAAGCAGTGGCAGATGGGTGCGTGAGATGTTCCTCATTCATTTAGAGCCACTTAGTAGAATGGCTGATTGTTTTTTGAAGTTTTTTTTTTAAAGAGATCTTTTTTAAAGATTTTATTATTTTTTATTTTTTACATTTTTTTGGGTAAAAGAGTCTTGCTTTTTATTTTTTTCCCCCAAATTTTTAAATTCTAGTAGTTAACATACAGTGTAATATTGGTCTTGGGAATAGAATTTAGTGATTTATCATTTACATTCCACACCCAGTGCGCATCCCAGCAAGTGCGCTCCTTCATCCCCATCTCCCGTCCATAGCCCACCCCACTCTTCTCCCTCCGTTAGCCCTGTTTGTTCTCTGTTGTTAAGAATCTCTCTCTCTCTCTCTCTCTTTTTAAAGATTTTGAGAGAGAGAGCACAAGCAAGGGGAGGGGCAGAGGCAGAGGGAGAAGCAGGCTCCCCGCTGAGCAGGGAGCCAGATGCGGGGTTCGATCCCAGGACCCCGGGATCATGACCTGAGCTGAAGGCAGATGCTTAACCGACTGAGTCACCCAGGCGCCCCTGTTAAGTGTCTCTTATGGTTTGCTTCCCTCTTTTCCACCCCCCTTCCTATGTGTTCATCTGTTTTGTTTCCTATTGGAAACATATTCCACATATAACTGAAATCATATGGTATTTGTCTGTAAAGATTTTATTTTATTTTTTAAAGTAATCTCTACACCCAACTCGGGGCTTGAACTGACAACTCCGAGATCAAGAGATGCATGCTCCCCTGACTGAGCCAGCCAAGCACCCCCAGGACGGCTAATATTTGAAGAAGGACAATACTAAGTATCAGGGAGGGTGTGGAGCATTTGAGATTCTCATACGCTGTTACTTGGAATGTGAAACCGTACGATCGCTCTGTGGAAGGTCTGGCAGTTTCTTAGGAAGCGAAACATGCACCTGCACAGTGAGCCAGTAAGTCCACCCCTAGGTGTGGAACCATGAGAAATCAAAGTGCATAGCCATAAAACCCTCGTACTAGAATATTTATAACAAGCTTTATTCATAATAGCCCCAAACTAGCACCAGCCCCGATGGTCAGTAACCAGGGCATGGCCCGGCCAAGTGCCACGTCCGTACCGCGGAATACTGCTCCCTAAGCCAAGGAAGTAACTGCTGGCTCACACTTCAGTTCAGATGAATCGCAAAGACCATGAGGCTGAGTGAAAACCAAACGTGGGTCCCCAAAGGATTCCGTGTGCGTGAAGTTCTAGGCCAGGCCTCAGTGCTTCCTGGTGAGGGGGCGAGCGGCTCCCCGGGCTCTCCAGTGGCGAGTGTGGGGATGGACTGCTGCAGGCTCAGGGAGGGTTTTGGGGTGATAGAAATGCTCTGTCGCTTCACTGGGGTAGCAGTTACACAGCTGTGGACCCTCATCCAGGGTCACGGAACTATTTACTTAAAAGTGGCACATTTTATATGTGATATGTCAATGTTGATTTAAAAGGAGAAACAAGGAAATAAAAAGCATATAAAACACCAAGCAGTGTGGCCCTGAGTCTGGGCTCTTCATGACCACCCGGAGCTGCCCAGCCCTTCTGGATTTGAGTTCACTTTATGTACTGGGGCTACACTGCCAGGCGCCCAGCGGTCTCTGCAGAGAGGGGAACATTTGCATAGGTGACAGTCTGTACATGTGTGCGTGTATGTGTGTTACATACACACGTACGCGTACAGGCCTCTGTTGTGTGTACATGTGAGCGTGCGCATGCACACGTGTGTTCTGTTGTCGTAAGACCTGCCGACTTCTGAATCCTTTGAGGCACACGAGGCATTTAGAGAGCTGGGGGCTCCTCTCAGTCCTGCTGTGGAAGAGCACGAAGGACCAGCCTGCCAGAGGCTGCAGTCTGACTCCCACCCTGTGGCCGTGAGTCCCTGGTGGCTGGCCTGGCGACGGCTGCGTGTGTCCGAGCCTCAGAGGCCAGGCAGCTGATTTCCTTGATGTCTGTTTCTGTTCTCACAGCTCGTTATGCTCCCCCGTGTCCAGTTTCAGAATCCCATTTCAGAATGGTGAATCCAGCGTTAACCATGTACACTTTTTGTTTTTGTTCTTTTTCTCACACAGGGTTACCTTCCTGCCAATGTGGACCGAAGACCAGCCACTCTCCAGAGAAAACAGAAAGAGTATTTTGCTTTTATTGAGCACTATTACGACTCTCGGAATGATGATGTTCACCAGGACACCTACAGGCAGGTGAGCTCCTCTCCCCTGTTTCATGTTATGTGAAGAACTTTAACTTGGTGACGATTGGTAGGAGGGAGTGTTCTCTCTTGCGTGTCCCAAACTGGGGCACAGATTAGTGTTTTCTAATAACTAAACTTGAGAATAAATAACAGTGTGCTTCTAATAATAGTATTGCTCTAACCGTAATAATAGTACGCTTATGTCCGGCTCCTTCTAGGAAAGTGAAAAGGCTGTTTTTAATTGGAGTTAGAAAATGGAAGCCTAAGATCCCTTGCCAGGACCCTAAGACCTGGCTCAGGAGTGGAGGGCACCTCTTGGCTCAGTGAGCTGCCGTCTGACTTGAAGGCTCGGGAGCAGGCATTTGCTGCTGGGCCGATCAGAGGAGAGTCTCTGTGGGCTTCGTGGGCACGGGGCCCCCTGGGGCACTGGGGGACGGGATTTGGATGGACAAGAGCTGTGCTCACCAGCTGGATTCGGGGGCACACAGCTCAGTCCAGAGCAACACGTGTGGCCACTTTATCGTTTCTGCTGTTTAGTTTAATACAAAATGGGTATCATTGTGGCTTCTTGAACAGTCCATTGACAGATGGTGTATATAATGGGAAAAGTACTTAAAATTGATTTACAGTTCACAATACATTCAGAATTTGCTATTAGCTTTTTGAGGGCTAATTCTCACTGTCTTTGTAATATGTGAGAATTCAGAATGGTTTGTGCTGCATTCATTCATTCTCTTACTTATTTTTGTGCTGCATTTAAACAAAAAGGTTGTTCTTAACTGGTAGCCCTGCCTCCTGTTTCTGAAATCAACTTCTGACTTTCCTGAGACTTGTCAGTACTGGATATTTCCTTTTGGAAATCCTTCTTCTAGGTGAAGGAGCCTTGCCGAATTTTTCTGCCTCAAATGTGGGCTATCCACATCTCTCTGTCATTTCGGTATAGATCTGTTAGAAAGCTCCAAACACAGGCCTTCCCTCTTGACTGATCACCAGAGGTTCTTTAAGGTTAATGGATTCTGGGGGAATATCTTCCTCATGGACGGGATGCAGTGGAGCTCGGAAGATTGTCCTGCTTGACAGTGAGGACCCAGAAGAGGGCAGGAACCCGCTTCTGTTGCCTCCTGGGGCGGGACCCTCAGCCTCGGGGCCCTCTACCTGTGGCTCATCCTCAGGCTCGGGGCCTCTGCTTCTGGCTCGTCCTCTGCCTCGGGGCCCTCCGCCTCTGGCTCATCCTCTGCTTCGGGGGCCCCCTGCCTCTGGCTCGTCCTCAGCCTCGGGGGCCCTCCACCTCTGGCTCATCCTCAGCCTCGGGGCCCTCTGCCTCTGGCTCACCCTCAGCCTCAGGGCCCCTGCCTCTGGCTCATCCTCAGCCTCGGGGCCCCTGCCTTTGGCTCGTCCTCAGCCTCGGTGGCTACTAGGGCTTGAGAACCTGATGTGAGAGAGATTGCATTTGGATTTGGTCAGGGAAATATTAGGTTACCTGGTTTTTCTTTACACTTCACTCATTTTAGGGAATGGGTCAATTTGGTATTGTTTTGAATATGTGTTTCTCATGAATTTTCATTCACAGAAAAAGACTTCCAAAGGATGATACCAGCACCTATCTATAAGATTTACCAAGCTGTATTCTATTATGAATTTCGTAAGGGAAAGTTAATTAAAAATGGGTTACACGCATCTTTCTTCAGTTACTATGATAGGTAATAAAAAGCTTCCATATTATTGCGAGTTCCCAGAATGTTTCTACATTAATATAGCCGAGAACAACGTAGCCCGTGGCAGTTTGGTTGGCCTGCTGGCTTTGCAGACCCGCCCCCTGGAGGTGGACCCTGTGCTGTCTTTGCTGCTTCTATCTCCGACACGCTGTTCTGTCCAGGCAGAGCCTGGGCTGGTCTGGGGCTTGGGCACCTGCTGTCTCCCTGCTGCCCACTCCTGGTGGTTGCCCCGCCCTCCCACACTGCCAGGAGGTGGCAGGAGCGCGGGGCCGCGGCCTGCTTTCACATCCCTCTGTGTCCTCTGTCCGTGTGCTTAGTGTCTGGGGGAAGACGTCATGCCCAGAGCACACCGAGTCGGTCAGATTCAAGATTCATCCGGTGTGTTCTCCCTAGGAGAGAGGAGTTCTGCAGACCGTCTGGGCCTCCCTACATCTCAGTCCTGTACGTGGGGAGCAGGTGGCCTGGAGGGGCCCACAGAGCCGCTTGTGCCCAGCCTCGTGCAGCGGCCCCTCTCAGGTTGGACCTCCTCCTCCTGTTGGCACAGACAACGGTGGGCGGAGTTACGGTGCCTGCTCTCCTGGCCACTCAGGAGGCACATGACGGGCAGCTCTTGTGTAAGGGGGCAGACGTGTGCCTGAGTATGATGGCACGGGGGGCAGCGTTCTGAGGGTGGCCCTTGAGGATGCCCTGGTGCAGGGGGTGCGATCGGGCTGGAATCCTCGGGCCCCCCAGGCTGGATGGTACACCCCTCCCTCCCAGCCCCACTGCCCGCAGGCCTCCTCTGCACATCGGGTCGCACGCACGTCTCCGCTTCCTCGATCTTCCCCGGGTTGCTCAGAGGGCTTGGGGCCGATCGTTTCCGGTGTTGCTCTTGTCCAGCTCCTTACCTCTCACTTTCCTTACCACCGTCCTTCATTGCTGCCCATGGTCTCTGCTCCCCGGATGCTGAGTCCACTGGCCCCCAACTCCCTCCCGGTTCTCCCCCCTTGGCTGGGTGCTTCTGAGGGGCTGCTGGTTTCCAGGTTCTCCCCTGAGGGAAGAGCCCCAGGCAGGAGCCCGTCAGTGGGGAAGCAGCCCCCACGCTTTAGAATGGCCCGGTTGGCGGGGCTCCCTAGGCTGTCGAGCCACCTTGTGCTGTCTTCACCAGTCACCCTTTGAGGTATGACAGGCACCTTCTGGACAAGGACGCCGAGTCCCAGGGCCTGAGTCCAAGGCTGGAGTGCTAATAAGGCAGAGTGAGGACACTGTCCTGGTCCCGTGGATAGGAGGACCCTTGTGGTCACGTACGAAGACGGGGACGGACCTGAATCGTAGACTCCCTCTTGGCATTAAAATGTGCACGTCTTCCTTCAGCGGACCTCTCCCTGGGTGATGGGGATGGTGACCGTGTTGGCCAGTGGGAGATATTCGTGTGGGGTATTGGGAGCCAGCCTGTGATGCCAGCTCAAGGCCTGAGCGCTCTTACTTGGTTGCTGCTTGAACGGGGAGGTGTTTTCCTGTTCAGAGTGGGGGCCTTCGTGATGACTCAGGTCAGGCGAGGGCCAAGTAGGGATCAGCTGACACCAGCAGAGGTTTTCAAGTGCTTCCTTTGAGAAGTGCCCTGGACCCCACGGACTCTGTGAAGTGGAGAAGAATGTGGCCTGGGTGCCACGAAGAAGCGGTCACCGCCGAGAACTCGTCCCTGAGGTGCTCCCCGTGTCCGAGGCTGGAAATCAATGTTTACTAAGTGCTATGGATTATGTTGCTAAAGAGCTGAGGGCCGCTCTCTTCCTAATCACGCAGCAGCAACTGTTTGGTTGGAAAGTGTCAGGCAAGCCTTTACGCGGGGACTCGGGGAGCCCCATTCAGGTAGAACCGGCCACCTCCTCTGGAGCCGAACTCGGTGGCATAAGGAATTCGTGTTTTCAGAGTGGGAGCAGCTTAGAGTCCAGAGTAAATTCATTGCTGTTGTTAAGGATTGCTATTTTAATCACATGCTTATAATGACATTTGTCATCTTGTAAAGTAATACATCTTTCTCCTGCATCTCTAGATCCACATAGACATCCCTCGAATGAGTCCAGAAGCATTAATACTTCAACCCAAAGTGACAGAGGTAAGAGCTGGGGATCTGGAAATGCCTGTGGGGAGGGTGTTTCCTCCATCGGGGTGGCGGGTTCCCATGGAACTAGTGAGATGGTTTTGCAGTTGGGGTGTTTACCCATTACGGGTTTGGGGGTAGCCCTTGTGAACATAGTCCCGGACAAGAATCGCTGATTGTTCTTAAAATATTTTGTGTGTAATATTGATGCATATAAAGGGTACAGGCGTGTGTAGATAGAGCACATACCCTCGTGTCCATCCCCACTGAGGACCGGGAACCCCACTCGCGTGGGACCCATCGTGTTGGAGCTGCTCCCGGTTCTCACACTGCCCTCAAAGGGCCCCCAGGACATGACCCACCTCCTGCCTCTGTGACTTCCCACGACCTCAGTGTGTGTCGTGTGGTGTCGTGGTCAGTCCATATCCAGGAAGCAGTGGGGGCCGCATCCTTCCTCCAGTAGCCTTGTCCTGCAGCTGGTGGCTTTCTTCCATGTTATTTTCTCAGATTCATCCAGTCTTGTGTCCGCTTGTGTAACAGTCCATCATTTAAATATCACGCACTTTCTGCGGCCTTCTTCCTGTTGTCGGGTATTTGGGTGGTGTCTCATGTTCTGTGCTCGGGACCTTCAGGCACTTTCTTGCAGGTGCCCACGGGCCGGAGTTTCTCTGGGGCACTGCCGTAGATGTGAACCAGTTGTGTGCTGGGGTGTGAGCCTGTTGAATCCGCAGGCTGGTGTCAGCTGCTCCCAGGTGGGCTGTGCTCCTTGAGAGCTCGCCTGCGGAGTGTGAGTCCCGCGCTCCGCATCTCCACCAGCACTTCCCACTTCGTGTCCCTCCGGCAGGCATTCTTGTGGTGGCCTTCATCTGCATGTCTCTTGTCCAGGTGGCAGCGAGCACCTCTCCCTGGATTTATGGGCTCCTGTCTTGCCTGTTCTGCGAGATGCTTGTTTCTGTCTTTTGCCCATTTTTTTTTGGGTTGTTGATCTAATTTTTTACCGGCTGCTGATCTTTATATGTTAAGGATTCTAAGTCGTTGTCAGTTTGCGGGTCACATGCGTCCTCTTCGACGCCGTGACCGCTTCTCACTTCCTTCTTGGCGGCTTTTAGGGACCAGAAGTTCCTTGTTTCCATGTGGTTGAACTTCTCCGTCTCTTGAGATGTTCCACGCATCTGTTGTTGCTTGCTGTGCACGATGTGAGGTAGGAATCCAGTGAACTTGCCCATGGAGTGACCCGTCGGGCCCGGCCCCGTGCATGGCTGCCTCCTCGTCTGCCTGCGTTTGCAGCCTCCCTTCTGGTGTTCGTCCTCACACTTGTACACGTGTTTCCGTGGTCTCTGTTTTGGCCCAGAATTCAAGGTGTCTTCCCTCAACACTACACTAGCCAGTGAGTTCAGCTGCGTCCTGAGTGGCCCCGCATGTGGGCGGAGCCCCAGCCCCCCCTTTGCTGGTAGGCCTCAGGCCCTGGCACGCCCACCTGAGCCTCACGGTCAGATGGCCCCAGCTTCTGTGTGCCCCGTTGGTGTTTACTGTCTGCTGGTTGTGTGGTGGGAAGTTGCACAGAGTCTGGAGACCAGTTTGGGAGGATGGACGTCTTCGTGAAACGCAGTCTCCCTTGTCCCCAACATGTGGATTCTCCATGTTCTAGGCTATTTCAGTGTAGTTTTAGAATGTACTCCATAAAAGGTCTTGTGTGTGTTTTATTAGATTCATCCTTGATTATCATATTTTTTGTTGCTATTATAAACAGTATCTCTTTAAAATGGATTTTTTTTTTACCATTTGAAGTATTTTCTTTGCATCTTGATTGCTCCCCTAAGTGCACTTTTATTTTATTTTATTTTTTTTAAATTTCATTATGTTATGTTACTCACCATACAATACATCATTAGTTTTTGATGTGGTGATCCACGATCCATTGTTTTCGTATAACACCTAGTGCTCCATGCAGTACGTGCCCTCCTTAATACCCATCACCGGGCTAACCAATCCCCCCCCG